ATTTAATGTGCACTATTTCTGGCAGTCTGCTTAGGCCCTAAGTTTCCGCACTGCAGAAATAATCCAGTTTGACCCCACTTGAACTGCCTTGGCTCAATGCTATGGAATTGTGGGAATTGTAGTTTGTTGTGGCCCCAGAGTTCTCTGATAGGGAAGGCTAAATCTCTCACAAAACTACAAATCCCAGAATTCCATAACAGTGATACCGTGGCTGTTAAAACGGTGTCAAACTGGTCTATTTCTGCAGTGCAGATGCAGCCTAAAGGAAGCTTGCGGAAAGCAAGGCTTTCCTGGAGAGAAAACAGAATCAGACCGGTTTCTGAAAGTGGGAAGAAGACTTTGACTGCATCCGCACTGCAGAAATATTCCAGTTTGACATCACTTTAACTGCCATAACTCAGTGCTATGCAATCCTGGGAATTATAGTTTGTTGTGGCACCAGAGCTCTCTCTGACAGAGAAGGCAAAGGGGGGTTGCAGACTGCCAGAAATAGTGCAAATTGAGTCAACTTTTAGGGTTAGGGTTAGGGAATCATGGGAACTGTATTTTATTGTGGCACCAGAGCTCTCTGACAGAGAAGGCTCAATGTCTCAGGGGGGGAAAAAAACAATTCCCATGACTCCCTAGCACTAACCCTAACCCTTAAAGTGGACTCGATTTGCACTATTTCTGGCAGTCTGCAACCCCCCAAAATGTCTCACAAAATTATGATTCCCAGAATTCCATATCATCGAGACACTGCAGTTAAAGCGGTGTCAAACTGGATTATTCCTGCAGTGTAGGTGCAACCAAAAATAAAAGTGAGGAAAGACTGGCACATTAACTCCAGGTGGTTTGTTGTTGTTGAATGGCATAGAAATATTTGTTTTTGTTGTTGTTGTTATTATTATTATTATCCTCCTGAGGTAAACGCCAGGGGTTCTCTAGTCCGCTTTCTCATTGGCTACTGCGACTGCCAATCAGTTCTGAGACGCGGCCCACAAATCCTAACGATCCCTCCTCCGAATCTTTTTATTTTGGCCCCACCCTCTCGTTGAGCCTAGATATGACTGAGTGGGAGGAGCTAATCCCTTCTCCGGGAGGCGGCGGGGGCGGGGTTAAGAATGATGATCGTTTAGAGCTAAACCGCGGCGGCTGCCTATTATTACCGGTCGTAGAGCGCGAGGGTCGCGCACTGGACTGAGAGAGGCGGCGGTTGGAATGTGGAACGAGGTAAGTCGCGGGGTGGGGGGGATCACACGAAGGAGTGGATAGATACCCTATGAAGAGTAAAGCGCTCCTTCACAATCTCCCCCACTTTTTTTTGAGAATGGGCGCCCCCTTTTCCTTTATAAGCGCGTGAGTCCAAGGCGAGGAGGCAGAGGCCACTTGGGATTCGGAGAGTGGTGGCTGCAGTTAGGGAGATTTGAGGCGAGACGGAGCGCCTCAAGAGGGGGATTAAACGGCCGCCGGAGCCCCTCAATTCAGGGGCGGGTGAGTGAGGCGAGGCGGGTGGGAATCTGGATGGATGGGTCCCTCGTTGTCCCCCTACGACCACCCGGGTCCTGTCGCCTTGTCTTTCGAGTACAGCAACACCCAGAATCCCCTACCAAAGAGGCCAACCCAAATAAAGAGATTCCCTCTTGGGTGGTGGATTCTGGGTGTTGTTATACTTTGCTCCATATGGCCAAAAATTGGCTTGTTGCTTTAAAAGTATTGTTTTAACATTATTTTTAATTGTATTTTATTTATTTATTTTTTAAAAATAGGTAACTTGTTTTAATATGGTAATAATTTAATTCTGTTTTAATGGGCTGTTTCTGTATACTTTTTTACATTGTACTGTAGTTTTTAAAAAATGTTTAAATGTTGTGAGCCACTGGGGAAAGGGCAGGATATAAATAATAATAATAATAATAGTAGTAGTTGTTGTTGTGTGCCTTTCAGATTTGTATTTTGCACATGTATTCCATGCATTTGGATTAAAAATAATAATAATAGTATGTGTGCCTTTCAGATTTGTATTTTGCACATGTATTTCATGCATTTGGATTAATAAATAAATAATAATATAATAAATAATATATAATATATAATAATTGTTGTGTGCCTTTCAGATTTGTATTTTGCACATGTGTTTTGTGTATTTGGATTAATAAATAATATAATAATAATAATAATAATAATAATAATTCAAGGATATAGCCATGTTAGTCTGTAGAATCAGTATGTAGAGCCATCTTGTAATACCTTTGAGCCTAACTGAAATGAAGAATTTGGCAACATGAGCTTTCCTAGACTTAAGTCTGCTTCCTCATCTGAATGTCAAAATGCATCTGAAGAAGTAGACTTAAGTCTACAAAAGCTCATGCTGCCAACTTCTTCATTTCAGTTAGGCTCAAAGGTGCTACAAGATCTCTCTAAGGAATAATGAATAAATAATAAAAGAGATCCTTCTTTGGTGGTGGATTCTGGGTGTTGTTACACTTTGCTGCATGGCCAACAGCAACTTCTTCTTGTGTGTCTTTCAAATTTGTATCTTACGCATGTATTTATGTGTTTGCGATGGCCGAATAAAGAGATGGTGGCTTCTGGGTGTTGTTATACTTTGCCATATTGGCCAACAGCAACTTCTTGTGTGCCTTTCAAGTTTGTATTTTTCATGGGTATTTCATGCGTTTGGGTTGGTCGAATGAAGAGGGCCTTCTTTGGTGGTGGATTCTGGGTGGTGGTGTACTTTGCTATATGGCCAACGATGTCTTCTTCTTGTTGTTGGGTGCCTTTAAAATTAGAGCATGTATAGGTCTGTGGGCAGTAGATGTAGAGGGAGATAAACACTTTTTGACTCAAAATGTGGTCGCCTAGGACTTGTTTGTTGTTGTTGTTATTGTGTGCCTTCATTGTTTTCCTCTGAGGCTGAGAGAGTTTGAATTGCCCAAGGCCTCCCAGTGGGTTTTATGGCCAAGCTGGGAATTGAAAACCTGGTTTCCAGAGTCTTAGCCCAACACTCAAACCACTACACCACGTTGTGTGTGTTTTTAACAACACTTGAAATAACTTTATTTGATTTGATCTCTTTCAAGATCTCTCAAGACTCAAACCGCTATGTTGTCGTTGTGTAGTGTGAAAGAGCCCTGTGTTGTGTGCCTTCAAGTCATTTCTGCCTAATGGCAAACCTAAGACGAATTTATCATGATCAATTGCTTTTTGCTGTGTGCCTTCAGATCTCTTCCGACTTACAGTGATCTTAAAGCCAGCCTATCATGGGTTTTTTTTTTTTTTTGGCAAGATTTGTTCAGAGGACGTTCGCCCTTACCTTCCCCTGAGGCTGAGAGAGTGTGACTTGGCCAGAGTCACCCAGTGGGTTTCATGGCTGAGCTGGGAATCGAACCTTGGTCTCCAGAGTCATAGTCCAATATTCAAACTACTAAGCCACTCTCCTGAATATGTTTCCTTGTCTTTCAATGCTACTTACACCCTTCTTCCTCTCTTTTTTCCTCCCAGAGAGAGTTGTCTCACACACACTCACACCCTTTCTCTCTTTGTGCTCTTTGCTGGAAGAGGGTCTATATGGGGCGGGGGCGTGAGGCAGAGAGAGATGGCGCTCAACCCCCCCTTAGTCCCTCTTCCCCACAAACACATCAAGTCACCCCCAGGGCTTTTGTGACCCGCTTTTACAGACAGCCCTCTCCATGATGGAAAGAGTTGTTGTTCCATCACAGAGCTTTGCCTATTCCTTGGTGGTGTTTCCTCCCCCCCC